TCTGTTTTCCTTTTCCAGAACCACCCAGCCCAGCTGCAGTTTGTAATTCAAGCYGAAAATAAACATCTGGTCATCGATTTGGAGAGGAATGAGTAAGTACCCTGCTGCGTGGTCACTTTGTACTTTCAGAGAAGGGTTATAATTTTGAAATTGATAGTTTGAAATTAACCTGGGGCCAATTTTGCTACTGGTCCCCCATAAAGAGTCCCATAAGGAGAGAGTTTTGTTCCAGTTTGGCTTATGGGTGTATCTGCATTGCTGATAGAGCAAAAACCTCTCTGGTTGTGTGCATTTATGTGGGGCTGAAAATGGACATGTTGCCTCTCAGGGTTTTCTTGTGTATTTGATTTGGGTTTCTCCTCCTTTCCTGTGGTAAGGCCTTTTATTTATAGTAATCCTGCAATCTCTGGAATTCTTTTTGGAGGACTCACCCCTCCTARCACTGCCTGCACCCACAATTTGCTCTGTGCAGTGTCCATAGGGATAATGAGTCAAGACTTTGGGATTAACCCCTGCTGGAATGTCTAACTGGAGCTCTCTGGGTTTGCTGGCGAGGGGATGATGATGGGATGGTGTTGTTATTGCCCAGGACCAGTGCTGGGCTTCAGCCCCTGTTTGTGTCCATCTTTCTCCATGAGCTCTTGGCAAACCCTGCTCGTGTCCATGAGCTTTCAGAGCGGGATCAGGGWCTGCTGCAGACGTGGTCCCATGGGCAGAGTTTTTACAGGAATAAAATCACCTTTCAAATGAAAAAAGTCATCAAAATCTTCATCTGCCCCACAACTGTTTCATTTTCCTCTAAGAGAATCTCAAGGATATTTGTGGGAATCCAGATCAGGACAGCTGTTGGCCAAAGGAAAGGCWAAGATCGCTCTCAACCTAGAGAAAACTTTCTGTAACTGTTCCCAAGATCTGTGAGCTCTGCAGGTTGCCCTGCTGGGGAATCAAAGGCACGAAGGTATTTTGTGCAGTTTGACAGAGAGGGTGCACACAGGAGTGATGCAGTTTAGTGTGTAGGAGGGAGGAATGTGACAGCAAAAGTCCAGGGGAAGCTGGGGATGGAAAACATCCATGAAAAACCACAGGGCACCTCTTTATCCTCAGGAATAAACCAACCCAAGGTGCTTTGTATTCCCAGTCATTTGGATKGACCCCAGTGTTCCCCAGCTGTGATAAATTCTGTTTCACTTCATTATTCGACATCAAACCTAAATCTTGACATTWCTTTGTGTTGTTTTTAATGCTCCTYGGTTACTCAGAACCTGTCCTTGCAGGGTGTGGAGATGCCCCATGCAGAGGTTGCTCTGTTCCAGTAACCAGAGCAGAATTTAATTCCTTTAGTAAACAGGGGTTTAACTTTATATTCCCTTAATCTTTGTCAGAGGGTGTGCCTTCCTCCAGGAATGGGAAATATGCAGCAATTGAGGAAACTATTTACATTCCATGTCAGCGATTAAAAGAACATAAAAAACATAAAAAAACATGAAACTGCTAATACAGGCTCTGCTGAACATACCAAACTCTCTTGTACCTGCAATAAAATCAGATTTAGACGATTGTAAGGTGCAATCTCCACCTGTTTTAGCAGCAGGACAGGAAAGGGCTGTAAATTACCTCTCTTAGTCTGTGTGACTGTGGATTTGGAGATGTTGAGATCTGCTCCTTACGAAATACAACATTTATCCATGGTTATGTTTCAGCTGGGGCAAACTGGGATTATTTTTTTTAGTTCAGTGGGGGTGCCCAGCTGAAGATTTGCATTCTGGAAGAGCTGTGTGTGGTGTTGACAGCACGAGGTTCCTCATCTCAGCAGGAGCTTTGAGGCAGTGGGATGGGACAATCATTGGCATTTGAGGCACACGAGGCTGTTCATGGATCCCAAACCACAGGAGAAAGCTGATCATGGTTTTCAACAATCATTTTGCCCTTTTCTTCAGTATTTCTGACTTTGATGTTCCTAAGAAATTGTGGTGTCCCGAGTCCATGCAGAATTTTCTTCAGCGTGTGCACGTGTAGATCGGTTGTTTCTGTAAATGACACCTTGCACTGGTCTGGAGGACTGGGCTGTGCTTCCCAGGAAAAACAATCCCAAGGTTTTCGTGCTGGTCTGTGGAAGCTGTGGTTGTGTTTCTTCTGCCTGAAGGGCTGGTGTTGGGTTTGTGGCACAAATGGTGACACGGGAGGTGAGGGGACGTGAGCACCCTGCTGCATTCAGGGCTCTGCAGGGGCATGGAGTGAGAAATAATGCCCAGGAGAGGAATGAGAGGCTGCATTTCTGCAGGGCAGACATCTGATGGCAGCAGGCCAGGCTGGACCTGTGGGTTCTGGACTCCAGAGGTGTGAAAATCTCATCCAAAACCTGGGCAGGGGAGCGATGCTCCCATCCCTGCTTCCTGGGAATCTGCAGAGCACACAGCCCCTGCTCCTTCCTTCTGATGTTTGTGTGGATCATGGAGCTCAAAAGCCGTGCAGCACTGAGCCATAAATCACCTGCTGTAGGCAGGAGTGGAGAGAGAAACACAAACCCCTTGTCTGGAGCAAAAAGTGGCAGCACACGAAGCTCTGAGCTGTGTGTTTTTATCTTTCTGTGCTTTCACGTAAAGCAAGGGAGAATGGTGGGGGTGGAGGTGAATGGGACGCCTAAATTACATAATTTCTGCATTGGGTCATACAAAAAAAAAACCCTGGATGCGATTTTCCGTGGCTGGGAGGAACAGCTGCTTTGAGTAGTCTTGACATTAAACTCCATTTAYTGAAAACCTTAGAGATTTTCCAAACCTTGAGTTATATTTCAAAACRTGATTCAGATGCATTAGGCAACCCCAAGTGGGGATCAACGTGTGAAACCATCTGTTATCTGTGGAAATATTGAATGTCAGCTYGGTGTTTTCTGATATTTAGACTCATCAAAATGTGTTCACATGTCCTGGGCAAGATGTTCTGAATTTCTTCTGGAAGAGTTACTGGTACCTGACTTCACAGCCCAGGSTTTGAAACCTTCTCAATGGCTTGCAGCTGTTGGGATTACTTTTGTGGATATTCATTAAATACTTKGGTGATTAATTTCCAGGCACTGCCCATTTGTAATTGCAACCCCGRATTCGATTTGTCAGAGGCAGCAAACCTGCGAGCGGGCTCGTGTTGCGAGTACATTCCTTACCATGATTGAGCTGCAGAAGATGATTGCACTCTTGAGAACCTTCAGCTCTGTAGTGCCTTAAATGTTTTAGAAACACTTGTCATATGGAGAGATTTCCAGAATCAGCAAACCATCCATCAGGCACAAAATAAACCGCTTTTTGGAGCAGCTGACTGGGCTGGGGTGCGGTACATCAGCAATACTGATGCTCTGCTGGTGTGCAAGGGACAGTAATGCATGCACTTCTAAATCCCCTAAAAGCTGATTGCAGCCTGTGGGTCCTGCAGAGGAGCATTTCACAGCGGTGTCAGTGAAACAGAGCCCCTGTGAGATTAAATCTGAGCTGGAGAGTGGAACAGGCTGTGGCTACCGGCTGTTTGTCTGTGACTGGAAACGTTTTGTGCTCTGTCAGGGCTGGGTCTGTGTGCAGCAAAGCTCTTAAGTGTTCTTTTAACTTTAAACATGTGAGCGGGCCAGGTGAAGTCAGCGGAATTGCTGATTTTCAAAATCAATTTCATGCTTACATGATCTGCTGACAAAGGTCATAATTATGAATGTCAGAGAAATGTAACTCYGAGCAGATGTCGGGGAGCTTTCCCTGCACTGTGCAGACCCGGGGCTGGGGCAGAGAGGGATAAAAAAAAGAGAGGAAAGCTGAGATCATTTGAGGGCATGTGAGGGTGAGTAGGGAGGTGGGATGGCTCTGCCCTGAGGACATCCACAACATCCTATGTGTGTCCTGGACAGTTTTCTTCCTGGTGGGACTTTGTTGTCCAGACCTGCAGAGGAGTGAGGTCAGTGTGGTTGTGGCTGCTGGGCCACTGGAACATGGAAATGGAAAGAAAAAGCTGGGATATTTCAGAGGAGCTGAGTTCACTCTTCATTTYCCCATCATTTTATGCTCCTTTTCATCAGGTTTATAGCCCAGCCTTAACAAAGCAATATAAAAAAGGCAATATATGAGGTTACATTGCTGCCTTTTATTCCCTCAGTAAAAATTYTTCAATTTTATCAGGAGACAAAATCCACCTCTGGACATGGTATCACCCTCCATCTTATCCCATAAATCCCTTAGGATCCCAGAGATCTCCAGAGGTTTAGATCATCTCTKACTGCCCCCTGCATATTTTCCACTTCTTCATGGAGACACAGCACCCAGGGTGAGTTGGGATGCAGTGACCCAGAGTTGAAGGTCACTTGGAAAGTTTTTCCCCAGGATTGAGGAGGCTCCAGCAGAATTCCCTGGGCTGGAAATCAGGCAGCAGCCATCTTCCTGCACAGTTCTAACCAGGCTTCAGAGTCCAGCARTATTTTGTTCTCTCTTTTAATTAAAAGAAAAAAAGTCATTCTCTCCACTTTCCTGACCTCCCCGAATGGGAGTGCTGATTGGTGTGCAAGTGACCCTGGAGCTGGATGAATTTTGCAGGGAAATAATCCATTTGTGGTACCAGAGAAAACAGCTGACGAGGTTTGTTAATGAACTGACACGCTCCTATAGAATCCATGGCTCGAAATGCGGATGGAGAAACAAATCCAAACAAACAAATCCAAACAAACAAATCCAAACAAACAAATCCCAAACACAGAGCTGGGACCTGTCAGAGTATCCTCGCTATTGTAATTCTGTGCTGTGTTTTAGCCAAAAAAACTGTGACCTCAGCCTGCTTTATCTGCGAGTGCTGGAGCTGGCAGCTGTACTGCAGCATTTCAGCCTGAGCTGACAGTTGGGATCTCGCTGTAATTGAAGGAAAAGTTTCAATTTAATGGAAGGAAGGAACAGTTTTTCCCCTTTCTGCGATGGCAGCAGTCAGGATGGTCTGAGCCACCCTGAGATGTGGCAATTAAGCTACCACGGCTACCATAAAAGTGGAATCAGTCTGTGGCTCTGAGGGTACAGGTATTTTGCACAGGTTTAGGGTGTAAAAAGTGAATATTTAGCACGGGCATCAAGAA